ATACGAAGGACTGTTACAATTTTCAGTAGTATACTTTATAATAAATGCTTCGTTGTAAATACTTCATTGCAATGCCACAGAGGGAATTAAACCGACGATGAATCGTGGTACATTCGATTGTTTGGAAGCCGGGAATTAAAATGTACTTTATAGAGTGAAACGTTGAAGGGAACAAGTGACATGCAAAGTGGCGAACATTTAAGAAACAACTCGTTATAAAATTTCAACAAAAGATCGGAGATTCGGTAAGCAAAGAGAGATTTACGTAGAGAAAAGCAGCGTCGATTTCTATCGCGTTTGACTTTATTTCTTGAAGGGTTAATACGGTGCATTGCAATTACACTATCTCGGACGAAATCTGAAGCGAAACAATTGTTAAACCGACTTTTCCCCTCACGGTAACCAAGCAATCGCGGTAAAACGTAATAAATTGCAGGAACCGTGCACTTTGTTGAGAATTTAAGATGAACACGGTAACGCGAAGGCTGCAATTTGTTCCCGACGCAGAAAAGAAAAATTCTGAAGAAAAAATAAAGAGAGAGACTCCCTATTTCCTCGGCAATTATAAGTGACACGAAAAGGGTGGAAAACTTTGAAAATTCGCTTTAACTTTGCTCTCGGTCTCTTTCTCGATATCATCTTTCTCGCCTTTATAATTCCCACCTGTATACCCCATACACCGGTTAAATATTTATGCAGAAAATTAGATTGCATTATATAGAGCATAAGGAATATAAGAGCATAAAGAATTTCGATTTGCATAAACGGTGATGAAAAATTCTCGATAAGGAGCAACATAGGAGCATAAACGACGCATCCGAACTATAATAAACGTCTAATTTCTTATAAATTAAATATAAAAATAGCGTTAAATTTAGTTTCATTATTTCTAAGTACATTATATACTACCACTGCGTCGTTTCAACCCCCTCGAGTAACCGTTTGGACTAATTAAAACGTATGTAGTACTTCGTAAAATGAACAGGATACGCTAATTCGTACGATTACGAGGAGCAAATCACGACAAAGAGGAAAAGGTTCGAAAGAAAAGCCGAGGTGATATCACTGTATACGATATCGAAAACGATAGTGGACGCCGGTGTACCAGAAAACACGATTAGCACGCACACTGGTAACAAAGATTTCCCCATATCGAAATTACCGTACATCATCACGGCATATAGATGTAAACTATTGTGCATTGATCAGCGGAATAAATAATACATATATTTGACCCGACTGTTCAATAATTGTTCCATCGAGTTCATTAAAGGTTAAACACCCCCTTGTCTAAACACCCCCTGTTCAAATGTCATCGAAATAGCGACGTTACTTTTCAGCAAATCTACTAATTATGGTTCTTATAATAAATCTGTGAAATTACATTTAACACTAGATTTACGAAACCCGTCAATTTGACGGAAGGATTGTTCATACGATGGAAACAGATTTAGTTAACTTATATTAACCCTTTGCACTCGAAGATTTTTTGGCTAGAGAAGAGTAGAAATTCAAAGATTCTTTACTAAAATACTGACGATACCTTTTTGAGCAGTAAATAAAGAATTGTATAATAATAGAATTGTAGAATTATTTGATTTCGATACCTTGCACACTGTTACATTACATTAAAGTTGATATGTTAATTAATATCGATCTTCCAAATTTTATGAAATGGTGACTGAAGATCACCTCTCGAGTGCAAAGGGTTAAGACTGTTAATATAATATATAATTGTTTCCAAATTAAACTAATCGTTAAAAGAAAGATGGACATGGTTACCTTTATCTGTCGATTTGACAGGTGTCCTTAGAGATAGGTATACAGATAACGTCCATAAACCTAGTGTTAATTAAGTTTCTGTCTCCATAAAAGTCCCAATTAACTTCGCCAAAACTGATTACCCGTTTCGCGAAATAAAAAGTTCGAGACCGGTCATTCTAACCCGTTCAATAAAGGAATTAAAGGAATTAATTACAGGATAATGATAACCGAAGGTAAAATTGCATATTCATTGAACGATGAAAAATTAGCGACCATCCTTTATACAAATTTCACACGTGTTTCATGCTTCTACCTTTCTACCCGATTAACGTCTTAATTACCATCTGGAATCGATATTCCTGGTTAAAACGCCACGATTTCAAAGATTTCGTGCTCCCGTTCGCCACTTGTCATTACCGCATAATACGACGCGCTCGTAATTGCCTCTGTTATCTCCGCCTGTCTTCGGCGTTTAATTAGAATTGATTATCGATTCGAGAAATAACAAGTTCGCAGGTGCACGGCGAGCGTACATACACCGAATCCGCGACTCGATACGTGAAACAGTCAAATTATCGTACCGCGATAAATGTTAATTCATTATAACTGCGAACAATACGCTGTTCTTCCGGCCGAAGCGATTATCTGCATTAATTGCCAAACGGATGCAAAATCGACCGCATAAGCAGTAATTAAGACTGGGGTTATTATCTAATCGATTCCCTGGAACGCGTTGGGGGGAAACCCTAGTGGATCTAGGGGTGAATGAATCGCTACGTATGGGGTGTTTTTTACGTCTAATATTACGATTTCCTTTATTTTTATTCCATTTTATTCCCTCGTGCTTTCTTTTGTGAATAGACACGGACACCGATATCTTCTATATTTTTTAATACCTTGTGCATGAGTGACGAGATATCTCGTCTTTAGGAAGCCGAACGTTGTGATTGGGTGATGACATATCTCGTTTTCAGATCCCTTCGACTCGATCGATGATTTAAGGAATTAAAAATCAACCAAGTTAGGAACCAACACTCACATGGAGGAGGTGGATTTTACAGATATTTATCGGTGGAAAATGTTTATGGATGGTGAATCCTCTGAGATCGAATTGGGACCTAATAATTTCCTCGCATATTTTGTATTCTGTTTGAAAGACAGATTGTTTAAAAGAAAATTCGAAATGGCCAAATCACTGGGTTCTGGTTGATGGTGTACCTATGGAGGAAGTGGATTTTACAGATATTTATTGGTAAAAAGAGTTTATGGATGGTGAATCCTTTGAGATCGAATTGGGACCTAATAATTTTCTCAGATATTTTGTATTCTATTTAAAAGACAGATTGTTTAAAAGAAAATTCGAAATGGTCAAATCACTGAATTCTAGTTAATGATGTACCTATGGAGAAGGTGGATTTTACAGATATTTATTGATAGAAAAAGTTTATGAATGGTGAATCTTTTGAGATCAAATTGGAACCTAATAATTTTCTCTGATTTTTTATATGCGCATTGTTCTGCTATCGATTAAATTCTTGAATGACGCGATATTCGTTTCGACCTAACCACGTAACTGCATAAGTAGTAATTAAGAATGGAATTGATATTTGAGCTGTATAATAAATCTAGTAAAATGTGAAAGGTACTGCAATTTTCTTTTTTATATATTTTTATTTCTTATTTCACTTTTCTCCCATTTTTCTTACGAGCTTCTTACTCATTCTCCTGCCACCTATCACGTTCATTTTCCGTTCCTTTGCCGCATTTCCTTGCATTGCACGATATTCTGGTTTTGTGTAACGCATAAAACTTGGTCCGAGTTTTTCCAAGGATATACGTACTTTCATCATGGAACAGGAAGTGATATACGATTGAAGTTTCATGAAACAGTGGCAATACTAGTTTTGATACACAGCCGCGAAGCTCACGCCATAGGGACGGAAAAGTAAAATGTAGAAGTTACGAAGATGCAGTTTCCAAGAGCAAACGAATGGTTACCTTTGGAACTGGAAATCAGCGATGGAACACTTCGAACACTGTACCTGAAGCGAAACGCTACTGTGCTATCGAATCAATTGTCAAATCCGAGCTAGAACCATCCATAGCTCCGTATTCCCCTCGGAAATCGTGTCACGGATCGGACTGTTCGGCTACAGGATATGAGAAAAACATTGGAACAGAACCGACGCCATTTTGCCGGAAATTAACGATTACAAAAGGAATTACGGTATATTACTAGCGGCCAAAATAATCCGGCGAACGAATTTTCGCGTCTTGTTACTCCGTACAACGTCTTACAAAAGTTTCCCGGTATTTTACCTTCATTCCGCTGAAAACATGAACGCCGGAGCTAGTAAAAACTGCTGAAACGCCGTGTTGCATTGCTGCTGCAACGTGGACGGATAAATGCTTTGTTTTACTACTGGAGCTACACGCGTTCGCTTTAGGAGTCTGCATACGCGGGAAAAAATGGCGGTAAATTAAGAGAAAGAAAAAGGAGGCTCGCGCTAACGATCCCTCGAAACGAAACGGATTTAATGCACCTGAAAATACTCATCGGCGAGCGAAACGCGATACTCTTCATACGTTATCAATCACCGTGTATTAGCTTCCTCGTTCGTTGACTGCGCAGTTATAGAGTCTAATTAAAACTTGAAGAAGTATCGAACGCCGTTCGTCAAATCTAGAGCTTTGGCTTTGCACATTGGCGTATTTCGAAGAAATTTCAGAGCTCGCGAATGGGTTCGAAAATTTCCAACACCTTTCCTCAAAGATAAGCTAAGTTCCCTTTCTAGGTTTCTCAGGGATAACTCGATGCTCGGGATTTGAAACTCGTGTGAGCAAGATTTTCAGAACGTTCTTGGTTCAGTAGAGAATACACTCATGCTCTAGGGGAGTATGCGAGTTTTAAATAATCCACCCTCTAGAGCTGCGGTTTCCAAAGCTCTCATGACATAGGGGTGTGTCGCGAAAGTTTCTAAACTCTCACACTGTCATACAAATTTTTTAAATACGTGTACTTAATTATTTAACGAGTTTCTCTTGGAAGATTAACGATCGATTGGCGAGAAATTTGAAAAATGGAGTTGGAGGGTGGTTTAAAACGTAAAACTATTAATATGTCTTGAAAGTTGATAGAACCCTTGTTATATTCCTAATACTGCAATTGTCGCGTTTGGAGTTTCATTGGATTGTAAGGTCCATTTACTCGGATAATATTGTACAGTGTTGCTGAGATGTGGCCTACCGACATTATTAAGGGCCTGGTCCTGATTTTGAGCAGGCCTGAGTCAAGGGATGCTGGCAATAAGGACATAGAACAGTCCCTCACTGACCTAGGCTCGCAACAACCCCACATTGCTAAATTTGCTAAATTTCGTGTGAATTCTCCACTGATACTTTTGGAAACCATAGTCTCGAAGACTATCGAACAAAAAGGTACAAAAATCATGTCTTAAGTGACAGCTTTACGATGTCCCAACAAATTCTAACAATAATTCTTCCACACCGTGAGACACGGAAGCTTGAATCTCTCTGGCTTAGAATTTCGAATTATTTCCAGAGTTGAAAATCGCGAGACATTCGACGCAACATTCGCGGAATGAAATAATTGCCGAAGATAAACGATTCAAAGCCTGAAAGGACCCAAGGTATCTGCAATGTTCGAGAGCGAAAATCTCTTCAGCGATACGTAAATTTGCCTTTCAGGGTTCCGATTGAGAGAGGTACCTCCCTGTGCCCCCCTGTCTGCCGCTATTTAATATTAGTTGAAACTCACTGCCCCGTGTAAACTAACTATTCATCGACGCAGTCGCATTTAACGCCGGCGCGACGGTTCTGTTCTGTGTGAACTGCAAAAGCGATCGCGGATGGACAGGAACTAATTTCGGCCGGAAGCTGCAGATGCCGGACGTTCGAAGGGATTCGACAGGACCCTGCAAAGTTCGCTACGGCAACGCGGATAAAAGTTAAACCGGCGACCGAGCATGCGTCGCGTTCGCGAATTTAAAACTGTGTTACACGGCGAATTTCGCGAATTAACTCGATATTTACATTCGCTAAATGCCGTGACGAGCATGGCGACAGACCGCGCTTCCTCGTGTACTTTGGAAACGCTGCGGATGGAACCATGGAAGAGGCTTCGTTGGTTTTGCGTTGTTCCAATTTTGACAGTGTGCCTGTTTCGAATGGATAACGTTCCTGCCAATTTTTGGTAATAAAATAAGACGCGAATTAAATTTCACCTGACTGGGGGGTTGAAAATGATTTTGATGTCTGGCTATAATCGGTCAAAGATATAGTTTGTGTTATTCTGTAATTGCAACGAAAAATTTTGTAATTTGTTATATTTAAAATTGCAGTGAAAATTTGAATTAAAGTTCCTGAGTTGTGTAGGTATGGTATCATAGATAAAGGGAAATGAAAGTAAAATAGCAATGAAGATAAAAGAAATTTTGACGACTCTTGAAGAAGCTAAGAAAGCTGTCTATTTAATAATTTAGGTATGTTATATTCGGTCGTTTTGAAATTCGTCAAAAATGGCAGAAAGATATTAATAACTGGCGGAATTATGCCATCTTATGAGTAACGTGTTGATCAAAGAGAAAAATGGTTCTCGACGTGCAGGTTTCCCCAGTATACGATTATGTAAATGAAAAATGTAAATAGGGTTGTGGCTGTAAAGAGTACAGATAGGATTGCGATACTGACTCGAGTACAAAAGCGCAATTTAAAAATGTTGAAGAAGAAATAAGGCCTGAAATAGTCATTTATTTCCTTTAATAAAATTTCTAAATGGAATATTTTTAATGGAATAATTTAAAAATGATAATAAGGGTACGTGAAAATATCGAAAACTGCAAGACACGTTGGCCCATAATTGTTATACGATAAAATAACCTCCTGAAGAGGTAAATTCATTGCTTGAAATTATACGAAAATTATTTTCATCTCTAAATTATGATTGTTCTGGGCTGTTATTATACTCGTAGTTGTTTGAAAAAATTAGCTCGCGAAACTCGTTCCTTGGATTATTAAACACAGTGGTGTCTCGAATAATGAAATCTAGCGGGCAATTTTCTGCTTTAAAAATTGTATCAGTGCCACACCTCATTTCCACGTTTGAAATAACGGCGGAATCTCATTCGATAAGCAGAATAACAAAAAAGTTTCTGATATTTAAAGTTCGATGTGCCCAGACTTTCGTCGAATCGATACGCTGTACCTCGAATACTGACCATGAATAAATTAACAACGCGAGATAAAATCGTAGACCCCTGCAACTATTTACATTCATTTTTACACGCCGAATTTATCTCCTTAATAGAATGGACGGATAAAGCGGATACCTGTATCGCGAAGCGACGTTATAATAATGTAGTTTGATAGAAAACTCTATGAATAATTTTCCAATTGTAAAAGCGGAGTAGGTGGGGCTTATATCAAAAGTGAGTTTCGTTCTTGAATTACTTGTGGTCAGAGTTAAACACGCTGTGTACATCAGATTCTCCTGCTTTCGCATGTACAATGCAGCACGATACGGTCTTCCGTGTGTGAGCTTCCTGACAGTTTACACGCACGCATGTCATACCGTAAAGTAGCTTCCACGTACCTGGTGCTCCAACAAAATGCGCTTCCGTGCTCGATACTTAATTAACCAAGACCAACGTTGCTGCTATAGCTTCACAGTCTAGTGATTGAAAATAAAAATAATCAAGACTTAAAGATCAACCTAATTTTTCTTTAATATTTATTCACTTTGTTAAAGAGGTTATAACGCAAAGGAATAGCAGTCAGTAGAAACTGTGGAAAAACTGTATAGATCTTTATCGAACGGACGAATTGTTAGAACTGACCTGTTTAGGGCCACGCAGGTGACAAATCGTCTTTAGAAGACTGGGGACAAAAGACAAAACACAGGGGAAGGGATCACCCCAACATCGCTAGGATGTAGAGTTTACTTTACTATTTAATTTTACTACAACATACTTGTATGATATTAAAGTATTATTAACCCATTTGCATCCAAGCGCGGAATATTCCGCGAGCTGTGACTGCCGTCTATCACCGAGCGCGGAATATTCCGCGAGCTATGATAGTCGCTAATCACCAAGCGCGGAATATTCCGCGAACTACGCCTGTCGTCTATCACCGACCGCGGAATAATCCGCGAGCTGACTTTTTCCATTACCATTTGCTGAATATTCTTCATATGCCACAGTGAACGTTTAATCCCTTTTGTGAGCATCTCATCCACATCGGTTAATTATATTCTTTACAAATTTTACTTTTGTCGTGAAAATCCTTTTAACTGCCATTACGAGTAAGTGCTGATACGCGCACGGTGATACGGGCTAGTCGTCAGTTGAACGTCGCTGATGTCTGAACACGGCACCTTAAGTAGAGCCATGATGCAAGTGGGTTGAATCATTTGCTTCTCATTGATAAGAATATTTTATGTTTCCGTGCAAAAATTCTCAGTAACGATACATTTTTCTAATAAAAGAATCACCTGGATTACCAATATCATTATTCTACAATTATCCCAAATTCTATTTCATTTCTATCCACTCAGACGCAAAGAACCAGGAATACTTCAACGAGCTCAGAAAAGCACCCCAAAAAATCCCACTCTAATTTTATCACTCATCTCTCGTCATTCTCCCTCTTCCACTCTCTCAATCGTTCGCAAAGATATACTTCGAAGAGAGTAGCTTCGATATCCATCCCAGGCGAACTCGATCTAAAATTATTCCGTGGTATATTTCCCATCAAAATCACGTTTTGCCGGGACGAGGTAATTAACAGGCCTGGAACTTGGGACCAGGAACGAGGTCACTCGAACTCTTCCCTTTAAGCCGTATTAATATTAATTAGGACGAAATAAAACGCATCGCGCATGCAGCGGGGATGGGTGTCGATAGATGACGACGAAGACGCAAGGATCGCAAAGGGGTACGGTAACTGTACGAGAGAAGACTCGTTGGAACCCTGCATCGCAGCTCGACTCGTTTCGTGCGTTACCGGTTTCATTATACGCGACAGGTATATCCGGAAAATCGATTTGCCTCTAGCCGCGTCGTAGACACGGACGTATTTAAAGCGCCGACTCCAAAGATCGGGGCGCGATCAAATCCGAGTTCCAAGCTCGATTTTGATGCGCGCAAAGTAGGAATGAATAATTGATGCCGCGCGATGCCTGGATGGTAAACTGGCTCGCAGACGAGCGCGACCCTGCTTTTCACGGATCTCTACGAGACGCTAATGCAAGACACTGGCGTGTGCTCGCATTAATATAAATTAACAGAGATCCAAGTTCTGGCAAATTCCCGCGCCAGCCACCTCTGCAACCCCCGTCTTCTGTCGCCTGCCCTGCCGCTATTTTCCTTTCGCTCTACCCGCCAGTCCTACGATGGTATACACATGGTCTGTTTCGCTTATCGTTTCCTTCGAGACCAGTTAGACAGCATTGACGATTCCAGACCGTCACTGGCTGTTTAGAAATTCTCCTTACGGGTCGCTGTCTCGTGTTCTTTGTTGCTGAAGCACGATTTTTTGAGTAAACGTGGGACGTATGTATGGGGATGTGGATGGTCCTATTATTCAGCTCTTAAGGATTTATATCGGGCATGTATGGATTGGTATATTTAGTCTACTTGCGCGTTTCAATGTTTGTATTACAGAGTTCAACGCGAATTTTAATGTTTAATGTCGGTTAGGTAATTCTTATAGTGTTTTTCAAAAAGGAATTTGTAATAGGAAATATTTTAAACTTGGAGTAAAATAAAAATTATTCTTTGACCCCTTAGAGGCCTTATAATGAAGAATTTTCAAAGATGATTTGAAAATTGACCAATGCTAGATAAGAAATGTAATATATATACATATACACATAAAAATGTACGTACATACATGCATTAGAAAAATAATATATATGTAACTGTATAGTACTCACCCTTGAGCCTTGACCCTTGACCCTTGACGGTTGGACATCCCCTTGGTACCAGCAACCAGGTCCACTGCAGGAGATCCGTCCGGTCCGAGGAGAGACCGGCAAAAGGGGTTGCAACCGATCGCATGGTGTATATATAGCCGACGATGTGCCGAAGATCGACGGAAGGTCACGATCATTGCCGATTTCGTTAATAATAACGTGTCTTCTATAATAACCAAGAAATTCTCGATTTTTTCGTTTCTATTATAAATTTGTGCTTCTAGCAATTAGTTTCTGACAATTTTTATTTGTTATTAATAATAAATTTGATAATTTATATATTTTTTTATAAACTATAACTGCACTCCCACTTCCATAGGATAAATTTCTGAGGAAACTAAGGGTGATAGTGCAATTTCGTCTAAGGAATCACCTAATGGGTATTACAGACTACAGAAAAAGTTAAAATTTGTTGAACATTGACAGACTATGTTAATTCATGATA